AAATTTTTTTTTTATTTAAAAAATTGCTCAGCGATTTAATAACAAAATTATTTTTTTTTTATAAATCGCTGCACTGGCAGCAATATTTAAAAAAAAAATTCTTCATAAATCGCTGCCAGAGCAGCGATATACCTTATTTTTTTAAAAAAGAAAGAAAATTAATAAATAATGTTAAATCGCTGCCCTGGCAGCAATTTGTAAGAAGAAACATTTTGAAATCGCTGCTTCATTTTTTTATTAAAAAAAAAATTTTTTGGCAAAATCGCTGCCTCAGCAGCGATTTTACTTTTTCAGTTGAAGTAAATCGCTGCGTCGGCAGCGATTTTACCGTTTTGGTTTATATAAAATTTTATATACCATTTTGGAATTTTTGTTAATATTTTCTACCCTTTGAGTTTCGGACTCCCGTGGACTGTGGTTTTATACATTTGTAGTTTTAGGATTAGAAAAGATGTATGTATGCACCTAGAGATAGCTGTACATGAACATATACACCACTAACTTGTCTCCCTTAACAAGAAAACATAAGGTTAACAAAGCAAAAGTATTCCATCTTTTTCTAATATTTTACCAGCTTACTAGATATAGATAACTACTACTTCCAAAACCAGCTTAGCATCCACAGTCTGGATATCTTTTTCTCCGCTTGTAACATATGTATTCAACAACACCTGTTTTTTCTAAAACCTTACTATCACTAACTTCAGCTTGGTACTGCAGACTAGTTTCATCCTGGCAGCCAAGAGGAGATTGTTGGTTCGCCTGTTCAAACACCACAAACAATAATACTTAGCATAAGAATCTAAGTAAGAAAATCTGCTGAGACAATGTTCAGAACAAACGAAGGTTACCACAGTACTGAAAGGAGCTGGAGCATCGGTATTATTATTGCTTTCAAATCCTCCAGGTGCACTGACAAATAGTACAACAGTTAAGTTTTATCAGCTGGGAAAAAAATTGCCAAGGTTTGGACACAAGAACACAATCAAGTTCTAAGTGCACATTTGGATCCTAAATGTGTTCACTGTTCCAAGGTCAATCAACACTGAACAGCCTAAAATATAACTAACTACAGGCAGACTCAACAACCCAACGTTCTTTTACAATAAAATAGATCAATAAGTAAGATGTTCATTTGCTGAACTTTCTAATCCTCTATCCACTATCCCTGGCTCTTCAACGAATAGACATATTTCACACCAAAGATAATGGAGGAGTAAATCCAACTCTCTCATCTTGCATCTGAAAGTTTATGCACCATCCTATGGGTGGACCTGCTAGTATCTACTATTCACCACGTAATCATTGTGTCTCTGTGTTACCTATGGAGCAAACTCACTTGAGAACACTTTTTAACCACTATATTTGCCAAGTCGAGTTTTTCTTCACCTATCTGAGTGAAATTCAAAAATGAAGAAATCCCCAGACAAGCTAAGTTCACATCTTTGTTCCTTCGTTACACACTCTTGTAGTTGGGGGTGGGCTTAATCTTGTGAGGTCTTTAGAAGAAGGCTTCAATATAGAGCTTCTAATTCTGCAAAATAACTTTTTATTTCTGACACCTATAAATCAGATGTACTCTCTCACCAAGAAGAAGAATCAAGAATATCAAGCCTTTCAAGTTGGCAATTGCTACGATATTCTTGATCCACATCTATCCTAAAGAAAACCTTTTGTGAACCAGTAAAATAACAACAATTTTTACACCCTTTGTTGGGTGTACATCATATCAATGAACAGATTGATAGACCGCTTTTCTCAAGCTGATACCTCATACACTTCTTAAGCAATAATATTAAATGATACACACAAGAGACCTTATTCCTTAAGCAGAATGTTCAAAACTGTAATTTGACAACGAAAAATGAAGAGCCCGTGCCAAAGTTAACATGATGATAAAAGCTAAGTACACAGTTAGTGCCTCCTATTCATACTGTGGATTGGTTAGGGGCATTTTGGTGGTTTGTGCTAATCATATGACATTCTAAATAGGATCTTTTGCACTGTTTTTGTTAGTTCCTGATTGGGGAAAACATCATCTCAATAAGCATGTTGAAAGACCAATTGCCCTCAAGCAGCATACTTCATCAACATTTTGAGCAAAAACATTAAATGATCCATACCAGAGATCTGGTCATCCCCTTAAGAGGAAAGCTTAAAAAAGGCAAGAGTAATTCAATTTACTTTCTGCGTCATCTTCTCTTAAATTGTAATATGTGAAATCTCACCAATAGAACATTAGACATGACCAAATTCAACACTAAATAAATTTTCTTGCACTGAGCCTAATCAAAACTATTTGAGTAATGCTCCAAATCTGCAACACCAACAATTACGCCATACATGCTGGGTATGAATCCCTGACTGACCATGTTTCTTGAGTATTACAGTAAAACAAAGAAATAACACCAACGAAATAGAAATTGTTTCACTGAGATAACTCCTACTTAAATGTGTAAAACATAGTTTTTCAACAATTTGAAACTAAAGCCTAGGCATCCTCACATACAGACGAATTGTGGTTTATTCTCAATTAATAAAAATTTGAATCTTTCACATCCCATACAGTGATTTCAAGCCCAATAAAACATGCCCCTGCTCTCACCTTATATTGCAGAAGAGGATTAGCTGACACTTTAATATGTGATTAGAATGATCAGCCTCCTAAAGACATAGAGATTCGGAGCACTTCCCAGTTGAGATGGGGCTGCAACAGGGATCTGTTCTAGCCCTTCCCTATTCACCATGGTGATGGATTAGTTGACACGGTCTAATCAAGAGGAGGTTCCATGGAGTACGTTATTTGCGGACGACATTGCATTGATTGATGAAGACACGGGACAGAGTTAATGCTAGTTTTGAGGTTTGGAGACAAACTCTGGACTCCAAAGAGTTCAGGTTGAGCGGGACCACCACGGAAAATTAAGAGTTCAAATTCAGTGTTGCGTCGGATGAAGCAAATGGGAAGTAAGGCTTGCCACACAGACTATTCCCAAGAGAGTGTTTTAAATATCTTGGATCCATGATCCAGGGAAGTGGGACATCGACGATGATCGCATGGCACGGCTAGGATGAGATGGAGGCTTGCCTCATAAAAATGTACCACCTAAACTTAAAGAAAGTTCTACAGAGCGGTGGTTAGATCATCCTTGTAGTATAGGGTGGAGTGATGGCCAGTCAAAAATTCACATGTTCAGAAGATGCGTCTTGCGGAGATGAGGATGTTGAGATGGATGTCCGGTCATACTAGGAGCGACAAGATTAAGAATGAGATTACTCGAGAGAAGGTGGGATAGGCCCCTGTGCAGACAAGATGAGAAAAGAGAGTCAGAGATGGGCATGTGAACACTCAAGAGGAGATGCACTAACAATCCAGAGAGGAGCTGCGAGAGGCTGGTTGTAGGGGGTATGAGGAGGGGTAGAGGTAGGCCCAAAAAATATTGGGAAGAGGTGATTAGACAGAATATGACCAACTTCACTGAGAAGATGACCGTAGATAAGAAAGAATGGAAATCGTGTATTAGGATAGAAGGTAATAGAGGTAGAGTGTTGTCTTGCCTTTGTTATATAACGTCAGATATTGTGTGTTGTATTTCAATTATCACACTATTTGCTGCGGTATTGTTCCTTTCTTGTAGGAACTACACTGCTTTTCGTTTTTATTGTTATGCTTTCTTTCATTGTTTTCTTCTACTGTTACTGGAATTGGATGTACTTGAGCCGATGGGCTTTCGGAAACAGACTCTTTAAATGAGTCTACATATGCAGTGGTAAGGTCTGTGTACCCCTACCCTCTCCAGATCCCACTTAGTGGGATTGCACTTGTATGTTGTTGTAGTCTCCTAAAAGCATAATTATCAGGCTTGAATAAGTTATCAAAGTTGTATTACAATTTTCATGTCATGTTCTGCATGAATTGAATGTAATCTCTTTGATTACCTTGTTCAGTCCTTAAAAACAGAAATCAAAGGGGGAACATACTCTGTAGATCCTTGGTCCACAATTGCACTCTCCTCAATTTGCTCAGCTTGGAAGACCTCAGAAAGCGCACTGTTTCCATCCAACTCAACATTCTCCTTGCTGTTTATGTGGTCAAATTGAGTTTGATAAGCTTCTGGATGAAAATGAAGTTTTAGTCCATCCATATCAAATCTCCATCTCTTTCCAGAGTAAATGAAGAGTATTACATACCTGTTGATTCACTTGATACCTCTGGAGGGATATTCTGGAGAAGTTTCTGACACATTGTTGTACCCTGGAAATCAAGGAAAGTGTAATTCAAGAAGTTTAACCTCTGAGATTCTTTCACCAGTGAGAAACCAAATGAAGTGGTCCATGTGTTTAGCACAGTTGGTACAGCAGGCAAAACTAGCCTCTCAACTCCTAATTCCAAGAGTTTCTGGAATGAAGAACAAAATAGCTTTAGTGGAAAGAAAAAGCAGATCAGACGAAAAGCATATTAAATCTATGTCAAAGCATATTCATCATAATCCGCAATTCCCCACCTATGTAGGTTTAATATTTTGTTTTGGTATCACGAGAAAAAAGGAAAACCATATAAATAGCCACAGTTATCAGGATCATTGCAATTATCACTGTCATACATGTGCCTCATATCATTATTTATTCTAACTAGAATTGAAGTCCTTTTGTTTCAATAGGTAATCAGAACTTGACATCAATGTAGCATAACTGAGAATTGAAGCCAAAAATAAAGAGCCCTAAGAGTGCTGCTTAATCTAGAGAAGCAATATAATGATGTCGAAAGGTTTTTCTCCTATAATACTGCATGTTTATACTTCTGATAAGGAGAACAAGCTGATGTCCCATCAGTCAAATGCATAGCCTCGAAAATGTTAATATATTATAACCATGGAAGGAAAGAAGCACATGACTAAGAAATAAAAACTCAAAGATATCCCCAACAAGTTATAGCTTTCATGAACAGAACATCCCTGCTTAATAAAGTAACTATTGGGAATCTTTTAAATACATACTATGTACATCCTCAGCAACAACTTTCCTTCCTCTCCCTGAAGAAGGTAAATGAAAGAAAGTAGATTTGCATACCTTTTCAAGCTCATTCATTAAGACGCGACACATTCCAAGTCGGCGGTACTGAAATCTTGTTGCTACAAGAGGAACCTCAGCTACCTTTTCTCCATAAACCCTATGGGCATGAAAATTGTTAGCTTACTATCTATAAGAGTCAATCACATTGTTCAACTAATTTTAAAGAGAATTTACTGAAATAAAAAGTAGAGAAAACTTCACTTGAATAAATAATACTAATGTATAATGGTTGGATACCTTACAGTTGCTACTGAAATAACTTCATCATTTCTTTCCAGAAGCACAGTATAGAAACCCTGAAAATTTAAGCGATTCAGCTCTGACCTGCGATTTCAAATTACAACATTTTGTCAGAGCATAAACAATTAAAACATATGTCTGTACTCAAGTTGAGATATACCTTGTCATCTATAGATAATTTCTATACAGAGTACCATGTTATCTATAGTTACAAATAATAAACTCAACTTCTATTTATGGCAAGTCTAAAATCAAGGGTGATTAAGTTCATGAATGGTGAAAGGTCTACTCTAACCTTTGATGAAAGAGTGTGTCAACAATGAAAGTGTCATATGAAATGCATACTTTTGTTTTGCATAAATTATGTGGTTGAACAAGATTATTTGCACATAATTCCACAATAGTAGCTCATGAATTTCTAAACCTGGACATTACCATCTATTAAAGATAACATCTTCTATAAGATCTCTCCTTGTGTAAGGTTCTTTGACAGGCTCGAAGCATTCATGCATCACATCCAGAGCGACACTAAGTTTACTATAAGTCTCCAAGATGAACTCATCATTAGCAGCATCTGAATCAAAATCATCAGGTTTCACGTATTTCAATAAAGTCCAAGTGAGGTTATCAATTCCCACCACAACTGGCTTTGCCAAAAGTTGGCGGATACCCAAACATATCTGCAATAGATATTTCAGTTGACTTAGACAAAATGTTTCTTAATAGTGAAGCTCAATAGACAAAGAGGATACTGGTGCAGGTCAACATGATGATTTTCCCGCATTTCACATTTCCCTAGGATCAATAACATGAGAATAATCAGTAAGAATGTTTTCTAAGATCCGACTGGTGAACTTCATTCTACACTGGAATAACTTCTCAATGAGACAATTGACAAGATATGGTAGCTTTGTCTCTACTCATGATGCCAATGTTTTCTATTCCTGAGTTAGGCATGAAATCAAATACCTGCTCACATCTCTTATTGCAAAACCAACTTCCTACAGGATGATAATCCAGCTTTTGAAAACCCTTATTTCTTATGCACCGAGCATGATCTGTACAAAAAAGATCAGCATGAGTAATGCCACACATTCACAGAATTCTGTATGCCTAAGATAAGCTTTTGTAGGAACATAAAAAATTATCAAAGGAGCTACTTACACTTGTTATCACACTGAAAACAGATAAGTAGACTGCTGTCAGTAAATTGGTCTTTGTTTTTATCAAATCTGCTCTCGCCACATGTTTCACAACAGCATGATGGGCAAAACCACTCTCCATCTGGGATCTCCTATTTAAGTAATAACCTTAAGTTGGTATCAAACCAGGTGTAGAACCAATATGCAAAATGCTCTCTCTCTCTCACACTGTCTAACCAATAAATTGACAATACCTTAATGACAATATGGATCTTTAAGAGGAGAAAGAGACAAAAGTATTATATACATATATATATGTATATATATATATATATATATATATATATATATAGAGAGAGAGAGAGAGAGAGAGACCTTCATTCCAAGGCAACCAGTATGAAAGGAAGACGGGCATTCATCACACAAAAGTAATTCACCACCATAATGGCACACGGAACACACATAGTCATTAGTGCCCAAATGGCTGCGCTTTTTCAGCAAAGGGGTTCTCTTCCTCGTGTGTCTTAAACTAGTCTTTTCTTTCATCTGCAGTTGACAATCAAGAAGGGATCGTCCATCTTCCAAATATATATTTGCTGAAGGTCTGTGATAACTACTTCCAGCATGCACCTCAAAACTGCTAATTCCATAAACTTTTTGGCAGCACTTGCATTTGATCCCTGCACGAGTGATCCGCCCTTCTGCCATTGGACGACCATCTCTTTTCCCACGATACTGCACTTTCGCACGCGGCAGAACCACATTATTGTCAATCAACCAAGATAAAACTGTTCGAGGTGTATGATGCAAGGAAGAATAAAGTGTCCCCTGCCGAGCTTTTTTACTGGATCGCAACAGACCAACTGAAGACTCAGATTCTGTACCATCTGTTACTGTTCTTGAAGATCTAGATTCATTTTCTTTTTTCAACATGCCACCTCCATGAATAGTCTTCTTTCTTGTTTTACTGATTTCACAAACTTTGACTTTATTAAGTTGAGCAGGTTCTTTAGCAAGTGGTAGGACAGCAAAAGTCGCCGCTGATAACTTCTCACATGAGGTTCTCTGAGGTGCCAAATTCCCCTGATATTCTAGAACAGTTGACTGGGAAAATAATTCAGGCATCTGTTCCTCAGCTTTCCACTGCTGCATACACCATCTGCATGCCCCTAGAAGAGTGTTGAATGTTTTCCCATGAGGAGAATGGTACCGCAATTCTCTCTTGTCCCTTCCCCGATAATAATAAAATATCCATCCTATTGCAGCTAGGTGCTTCTTAGCTTTCATGATCGTAAACTTCTTTTCCCCACTGTTCAATTTCTTATAGGCAGGATTGCCTGGTGATCCCCGTGAACAATATTCAATCACAGCTTCACGGCAGATTTCAGGATCAATGATTGGTTCTTGAGAAGTATATGGCAGCTCAGACACCTGACTGCGTGTCTTTGTTTTTGCCAGGCAAGTAGACAAGTTGAGGTCATCAGATGAACCATCATATGATGTTTTTTGGTCTTCTGCCCAAGTTTCTGACTTTTCCAACATCTTACAAACTTGACGAAGTGATTGGAATATTTTTCCATCAGGAGCAATGTACCGTGTCCTAGTGATGCTGCGATCCTTTGGTTGCTCAATTTTCCATCCTAAGTGAAACAAATGTATCTTAAGTTTTTGCAAGGATTCTGGGGACCTGTGGTTCGACATATAATTATCATTGTACTCAGAAACTGCATCAGGACAAAGCTCAGCTACATGGGCGATGGTCATCCACTCAACTCGCTTCCTCTTTCTAGAATGTATTTTATTGGAAGACTCAAAGTTCAGTCTCTCACTCTTAGTAATTGACGAAGTACCAGAAATTTCATTTTTAGGGGGGTGTAAAACTGGCAAAGCATTAGGTGATACAGCTTGTAGTTCTTCTTGGCTTGGTAGAACTGAGCTAAATAAAGCACTAGCACTCAATGGAACATTGTCTGAGATTGGTCCAAAACCCTCCGAAACAAGTTTTTTATCTATACATGATACCTCCCGATCCATACACATCATCTCCCCGCTAATTGATTTGCATATGGCTTCAATAAAAGGTAAAATGGCTGAGTTATGAAAATATGTTTCAGTGGGTTGTGAAAATTCTAGCAATGGGCCTCCCTCTAGAAAGCCTGGTGAAGTGTTGGACTCACAAAAGAAATGCTTGACGGTTAAGATAGCGTTTTCATGCACAACTTGGTTAATCAAGTTCCTCCAGATATCAGCCGAAGTAGATGTCCATTCCTTGAGGTATTTGTAGGCATTCTTCTCCCGGATTTGATACCAAATTTGTTTGAGTGAGACGAAAAGGGGATGGAGATTCTCAATCTCGTGAATAATTTGAAGAAACATCCAGGTACCACGAGGATTCCATTGTTGTGAAACCTGATCCCAATCTTGAGTTATACGTAGATTGTGGAGTTGAGCATTGATTTCATCACCCATATCTGGAAAGAAAATTCTTCGGTTTAGGGCACCATTTTGATGGTCAAATATAACTCCTTCCCACCAAGCATCTTGATAAAACAAATCAACACATTGTCCATAAGATAGAAGGGATGTGTGAAATTGAAGTGGAGGTGGGAAAGGCCTAATTGGAGAAAGGTTAACCGATTCAATCAAGTTGATAGAAGCTTCTTCTTCCTTGTCATCAGAGAGAAGGTGATGGTATTGAACTTGTGGAACAAAATCATTAAAACCAACGATAGTAGCTAAGTGCCATGAACCCAGAAATCCAGTTTCACTACTCTTCACCTGAATAAATAAATAAATAAATAGCAATGCCATTCACAAAAACGAAGCACATGCAAATGCAATTCAACATAAACAAACAAACCTTACCTCAACGTTTTGATGAAGTTGTAGTTTGGAAGCCATTGACACAGTCATATCAAACCTTCACTACCCTAAATTATCAAAATTCAGCATCAAACAATCATTCACAATAACAAGGTTGAGATTCATTATTTTATTCACTACAATACAAAACAAAGAGAAACACCTCATGAATCTCGGCATTCAGATGGCGTTTCTCTTCTCACCCTTTACCAAGCCGCTTTTCTCCTTTTTAGTATTACTTTTCTTCTCTAATTTTAGGGTCTCTCTAACTTACTTTTTATTTATTTATATTATTACTACTCTTTTACTTCTACATAATTCATTTTTTTCTAACATACTTATTAGTATGAACAAAATATACACAAACATAAATCATAAGTAATTGCGGTCAACAACATATAAATTTCACATGATTCATTTTTTCTACATGATTCATTTTTTTCTAACATACTTATTATTATGAACAAAATATACACAAACATAAATCACAAGTTATTGTGGTCAACAAAATATAAATTTCACAGATTTTTTTGGGGAAAATTATACACAGTAACAAATGTTAGCCTTCTTTATTCGGCACTATAGTTATAGTTTAAAAAATTATAATTTGCAGCTATAATTTTCTTTTTTTTGTTATTCATATTCGTAATTTGTGTAGTTTAATTCCTGATTTAATAAATCTAGAATTTTGTATGTGTTTACCCTAACATTTGTATATGATTTATGAAAAATTATTACAAATAACCTTGTATATATATTGGCATACAAAATATACAATCGGAGTTTTGAAAAATTCTTAAATGTATAAATATAAAATCTATATATTTTGTGTATTCACAAGAGAAATAACAAACTGCAACCTCCTTAGAAAAAAAACTATAAATATAAAGCATAATTATCGAAACTATAGTTATTAGGCTTTATTATGCCTTTATGTTTAGGTCTTTCTAAAATTTTCCTTTTTCAAGGAAAATTACATAAGGTTAACCCCTAATATTTGTTTACCACCTTTCTTACCCAAGTTTACAAAATTACCCAAAATGATCCCACTAATTACTTAATACATTAGTCACGGTTTATATCGTGGCAAAATAACACTATTAAGAAAACTTTTTTGTTGTTTATTTTTTTAAAAAAAAATTATTTTTCTTTTTCTAATAGTTTCACTTTATTGTGGGAAAATTGATATTACATCGTTTTATTCATTTATTTTTATTTATTAAGGATAGAAGGAATGATGGTCAAATAAATATACATACATTACATAATTGTTAGTATAATTTGATAAACCATTATTAATAACGCTCAAATGTCCTCCTTCAAATCAATTAAAAGGATCAACGGCCGTAATCGATAAAAAAATGAGGAGTCGGGGTCAAATTTCACATTAAATGGTATATAGTAGAGTCTTCCTATAAAATCATCCATTTGTAACAGTAAAAACAAGTGGTATGGATGATTACACCAATTTAATAAAAAAGTATTTATCTATTGTCACAATTAAACTAAAATCACGGGAATTACAAGAATTAAAAAAAAGCAATCTAGAGGTGCAGGGATTGGCAATCAATGATACATAGGGGTAATATGATGTTCTATAGTGATGAACAGTCATGAATAGACTAGGTCATCTTCAACGACACTAATCTTCTTTCGATCTCATAGAGTGCATAGAATCTCCTTTTGGTCTCATCTATATACCAAGATAACAACTCAATACCTTACTTTATTCTCTCTTTCGCTACAGAGATGGGGAAAATAGATCTCACTCATAGCCTCTATTTTCAAGGAAGTTATAGGCATAAAACCTAAATTGCTAGTATTAGACTAATTTCTCACTTCGATAACCGGAGATCGAAAGTAGGAGTTAAGTTCGCAACTTTAATCGATAAATTAACTCGATGTTAATTAACACTAATTAATGTATGAACAACACTATGATAGAGCACAACACAATACCCACTACATTATATCAACACCCAAACCCTATAATTGCACCTTTATGCCTTGGGGTTTTAGCCATCTATCACACAATGTAAAGAAATTATACCTTCCATTAAGTAGTCATCGGTAATATTAAATTAGGCAATTCTAAGTAAATATTTGGATTCAACTTCAATTTGTCAAATATAAGTGAAAAGTTGATAAAACCCAAAAGCTAGAAAGTGTTCTTCACAAGGTAAAAATGTTCCTCTAAAAACTAAAACTATATTCTGAAAGGAAGAATTATTTTCCTAATTTTCAAACTCTCTTTTTCTTTCTCCTATGGGATATTGATAGTTTCTCAAAAAATTCATCCCAAAAACCCAATGTGTGTCTCACTCGATGATATTAGTCGGGCTCGCCGAGCTCATTCGATGAATCATCGCTCGTACTTCAGATCGCCTTCTCTTGATCTAGTCTTTGGATGTTTCAACCTCACTCAATGAGCTCATTTGAATCTGTCTCACGTTTGGCATATCATTGAATACCACCTTAGTTGTCATGACCAGGGAGCACTCCTCAGAAGCAACACGGCGTACTTGACCTCTCGGAGGGCTTGTACAAGCCCTTAGACATCATTCATTATATTTATGAAAGGTAGCACGAAATATTAAACTTTTTCTCAAAAACATAATGTCAAAGTCATTTCATAAAATGGAAGTCTTTCTAACGTATGTCTCAAAAACCATCTATGACAACATGAATAACAATGTCTTGGGACACAGCCCACAAAAGTTTAAACATAGAAAAGAACATCAAAGACAACATAGGGTTGGTATCCTCAGATGCTATGAGGACTCACCACTCTTCACTTATTCACAAGCCTTGGGAACTCTACCCTTCAAGAAACTCAATCTCCTGAAGACCCTACATTGGATTAGAGTGTAGGAAAAATATGCATTAGTACATAATGTACATAGTATGGAGACTATCATACGGAATATTAGATATCTCAAAGGGTTAGTCAACAATACACATAATCATGAGAGATAAAAAGCATAAGCATAACATGAAAATTTTAAGCATAAAAATCATAATAAAGCATATAAGAGTTCATACCTAACTCATTATACTTCTTATTCAAATGAACTATTTCACAAGCCACCTCCAAGTATACTTGTGCAAGGCTAAGGTAGCATCCCATACTACTACCAAAGTTAAGTACCTCTCTTTGGTCATTCTTGATGTCAAGACCCTCAAAACGAACTAAGGTGTATAGAGCCTCACATGTGCCTAAAAGGTTATTAATATATTGATTAAGTGTTTTACAGTGTGTATGATTGATTTGAAGTGGTTTGGAGGTCAAATGTCCAAGAACATCCGAGATGTTCGAAAGTTAGTCTTTAGACGTACTAATGTGTTCTAGTATGCCTTTGTATGTTTTAACTGTTGTTTGGGGTCTGAATTTATTGGGGAGGATCCTGACTCGTATATGGACGTTTAAGGTTCGAAATGTCAGCACATGACTTTCTAAGAACCACCCAAAGGGTCCTTGTGAAGTACCCAAAAGATGGCAATGGACTGCCTAGGTAGTGTCCAAACGACGCCTAGCAAACGATTGATCGTGCCTTCATCAATGCCCCATCGATTGGGGGCATTGCTCCACACTTAGGCGTGTGAGCTCATTTCCCAATAAAGGAGCCTCAGTCACCATCGACGGAGTATCAAGACGGCGCATTATTCAATCGACGACCCTTTCCTCGCCATCCGTAGGTTGCACCTGCAATATGTTTGGGACGCTGCCATGCTAGGGGTGAATTGAGAAATTCACGTCACGTCTTAATTAAACTATAGCCAGTTAATTTAGGTGTATTTTAGGTGTTATAGGTTAGTATATAAGCCTTAACTCTAATTTAAACTCATTCCTCAAATCTATTCTTCCCTCTCAAATCAAACTCTCCCAAAACCCCATTAAAGACCAAGATCAAGAACAAGATATGGAGGTGGATTCATGGAGCTTTATCCGCAGAATTTTGTGGGTTATATAATGTAGATGGTATGTTAATCCTTCATCCCTATATAACCATTCATCTATGGAGTCCTTTCAAAGATTTATCAAACATGAAAGTCAAAAATCCTATCGTTCAATCTAGCCATGGGTTCTTTTTTAATGTGATTTCAAAAGCATTCTAATGTTTACCATGTGATTAATCAATGGGTTTAACATGATTTCCAATCCAATTCCATGATGAACCCATGATCTATCTTGTGATCTGTCTAGATTGTGATTCAATTGTTATTATATTATTGTCAATTGATTCATCTTAGTATTATCTATCAATTAATTATGAATTGTGGAGAATTTATCAAGACGATAACTATCTTGGAGATTTGGTAAGTTGATCTATTTTTTCTTATTTAGCTTTGAATATATATTTAATTTTCCTTGAAGGGCGTTGTTTGGTTTGGTCCACTTATGGCGGTGGTGTTTACATTCTTGTACATGTACATGTGTCATGATCTTGACCTTGATGGCATTAGATAAAATATGAATTAATAGCATGATTTCCATGTTAGGAAGTTGAAGGATTTAGTCTTGATTCTGATATCATGTTCTAAGTGAATTGATATTATGTGAAGTGTGTGAATAGTCTTCCACACTAGTTGCATGATTTAGGTATGTGGATGATGTTGTGCATAGGTGATGATCATTTTAGTGTTAGCAGTGGTTTAATATGGCTTATGATGATAAATACTCTTATAGCATGACCCTTACCTATATAAACCCTATATAAATGTGTGGAGTATTCTAATAATGAATATGATCTTATCTCCTATGATATAATGTGAGTGTGTGTAGTCTATAGCCCTTAATACTCTATATGTGTGTATGACTTATTAAGACTTGAGGAAAGGTTGTACATATTTTGTGATCTTTAGCAGGTGGCTTCCTCAACGTTAGGTGTTAAGCCATTATGTAATTATGTTGACCAATGTACACACATACACTTCATTATACCTATGAATAGGATATATTCATGATGACTAAGGAAAGGATAGTTCTCCTATGCATCATTACCTATTTCTATGCATGTGAAGTAGATGATTGATGAAGTTATGAACATATGTGACTAGAGGTTTTTATGTGAAGGTAGATCTCACATTGTATGCATACACACATGATATATGATTGTATGAACATGTAAAAGGACATTCTCACATGAATTAGGGTCTATGATGAAAGGATATTCTCATCATAGAATCCTTTGAGCAATATGATGTATGAAAGAGCAAGCTCCTAAAGCCTTCTTTATGAACTAGTGTATTAAAGGCTTAATATCACGACCTGAAAGTACCCCCTAGAAGTTAGAGAGGAC